TTTTACTATATAGTGTGTACTATTATTATTTTGTCTTTTAAAATCTTTTATTTGGTACAGGGTCTCACTATGCAACTCAGACTCGTAGTGATCCTCCTGCCTCAGCCTCCTCAGTGCTGGGATTACAGGCATGTGTCATCACGCCCGGTTTTGGTGGCCGGCACAGCACACCCAGGGTCCCAGGGGCTGGCACAGCATGCGGTTCCGGGGATCAAACCTGGGTCCTCGTGCTTGCCAGGTAGGCGTTTAGGCTGCTGAGCTATATCCTCAGCGACTATTTTGGCTTTGACAAGATAGGATCTCATTCCCGTGCATAATTCCAGCTGGCCTTGCACACACTATGTAACATACGCTGGCCTCAACTCCCAGCAGACCTGCCTCAGTCTCCCAAATGCTGAGATTACACCACACCTGGATTTTCTTAAGTTTTAAAAGGACAAAAACTCCTTGATAAAATAGAGAATAGAATAGGAAAGAAATATATCTCCTATAATCATTTTGGTGTTTTCTGATATATATTGGTTTACATAACTGATGTTATAATGTGCTATTTTCTTTTTTATATATATAATTTTTTATTGGGAAATAAATATGAATGAGACAGTTTCACAGCTGATTAATAGGACAGTTGTTTTTTTTTTTGTCGGAACCAGGGATTGAACTCAGGCCTTTGCACTTGCCAGGGAAGCGCTTATTCTACTGAGCCATCTCCCTGTCCCCTAATAGGACAGTTTTGATAATCAATACATTGTACATTGTTATCTTCTTAGTGGTTATCCATAGTACAAGAAGCAGACAGGGTATTCTGTCCAAACACTGTTAGTACACCTCTTTCTTCTCTTTGAATTAAGCGAAAGTAGCGGTAAATTTATCCTATTTTGTATATATAAATACAAAATGATCATTGTTTTGTATCATTTTTTTATTGTCTGTCAGAGGTGAGCATTCTATTGGCATCTAAATACTATAGGTGTTTGAATTCAACTAAACAATCTAACACTGTCTAGCAGTCTATAATATTAGTGGGTTATCCTCAGAAGTTAT